GGGGAGGGGGGGGCACAATCGCATACGGGGGGCACAATCGAATACGGGGGGCATAATCGCATGGTATGTGCCCTATCTGCCCAGTCCCTACTTGCCCAGTCCCTACTTGCCCAGTCCCTATCTGTTTGCTTTGTCTATGTGGTTGGTGTGTCCAGCCTGTCTTATATCATGCATCAAAGAGAGTCCCTTGGCTTGGTCGAAGTTTTTTCCGACAGAACTAACTAATGATAAATTATTTGCTGCTCATATCCCGACAGGGGAAAACCCGGTTCACTAGGTTCTGTGACGGGTCGGACCTTCACCGGCGGCAAGAGGTCATCAAACGAGTCACGACCGAGGTTACATCACGTCCACTCGGTGGTTGTCTCGTTATCGAGGCGCCGGACTTGGGCAAAGTCGTATACAAACGCTATGCATCACTTTACTTCGTATGCGGGATCGACGAAGACGAAAACGAGCTCTGTGCCCTGGAGATCATCCACAACCTCGTTGAGGTACTCGACCGCTACTTCAGCAACGTCTGCGAATTGGACCTGATCTTCCACTTCCACAAGGTACACATGATAGTCGACGAACTCCTAATCGGTAAGCAAGCAAACCCCCGTCCCGCACTAAATGTTTTCAACTCCGTCCTGTTCAACCAGCCCGGTCCTTCCCCGAATGTCTTCCCCCGAATGTCTTGCACTGCATGTCGCACAAGTCACACGCCGCAAGTCACACACTAGCATATTTGAGATCGCATCTTTTGGTCAGACGGCGAGTTGTGCGAGACGTCCAAGAAGGCTTGTTTACGACTTGTCTCGGCCCAGGATGTGATTATCGACGACGCAATTGTGAACGGCGGAACGGCGGGGATACTAGGCACGGACATTGGTGGCCAGCGCGGAGTTCGTTCGCTGTGACATTGGCGACCAGTTGGTTGGCTCTGACTAACTTCTTTCCAGCTTGGCTTAAGCCCGGCTTAAGCCCGGCTTAAGCCCGGCTTCAGTTATGGGCCCCGATGAGCTCCCTGCCTGCCGAACGGGCGGCCGCGATGTGGCTATTTTTGGGTGGGGTAAAAGTTGTGATGCAGACTGAAAATTCCTCTGGAGGAGAGGAGGCTGAAGTCGTGCCTCGACGGCGGCACAAACGGCGCCGAAGGCGCGAAGAGAGTCCGTTACGGCGGCGGTTGCCAATTTGGTGGAGTGGGAGCGAGAGTGTGTTTAAATTGCGCTACGTGACTCGTGCGATCGACCGTGGACGACACGATCACGTACGGGACTTCGTTCAGGCGGATCTCAGTAATCTCTATATCAATTGCCGTGACCGGGTGGGCCGCACGCCTTTCCATGCCGCACTTATCAATCAAGACATGCTAAGTCTTCTTCTCCTTATGACCGTACGAGCCGCCCCCGAAGAAGAAGTGCCAGCTATCGAAGTTGCAGACGCCGAACCTCATCTAGCTGAACCTCATCTAGTTGAACCTCATCTAGTTGAACCTCACCTAGTTGAACCTCACCTAGTTGAACCTGTTGAACCTCACCCGGTTGACCCTCACTCGGTTGAACCCCGAGATGACGTCGCCATGGCCGGCACCGACCCGCTCGGAAACGCAAACGAAGACACGCACGCATACCCGAATCCAAACGGAAGCGTATCCTTCAGCGCACAGCCCGCGGTAGAGGCCAAGGCGACAGCCCTGGGTGCCGCGCCACTGGCGGTGCAATTCGACTCGGACGGTCTGGTGGAGGTGGCCTACATGCACGCCGGTATGACCTTCCAGTCGCTGCCGGGTTTACACCTGGGCTTATGTCAAGCCTCATCCCTTAACATGCTCCACTGCTACGGCCTCCTGCTTCGTGACCGCGTCAATCTCGCACTGGACCCTGAACTGGCCTTTATCGTGGATCATGTCGACCGCGTGGCCGCCCAGCAACTCGCACCCGAGGGTTATTCTTCTGGGGGTGGACCCGTGGGTGGTCCTCCCGGAGCGGCAAAAAGTCCGCGAGGGTTACCGGAGTACATTGCGTATGAAGTAACCACTGGACGGCTGTGTGTTAATCCAGCCGTATTTGGACACGTCGATCCCAATGTGCGGGATGTCGAGGGGTACTCATTGTTGGAGAGGGCGGCGATGCGTGGCGACTTGTCGCTTTCTCGTCTCTTGGTCGCCTCGGGCGCGGTTTTGGGTGAGGCGTTACCGAACGCGGTTTATTCCCAAGATTTCCGCACCGTGCTCTGGCTGTTAGATGCCTACGCACGGCGAGCGTTGTTGGATCGCACATTGCTGCTGCGTTGTTTCAAGGCCGCGATCAAAGCGCTTGCGTGGCATTGCGTGCCTGAGTTACTCTCCCGTTGCGAATTGAGCACTCACGAATTTGAGACTCTCGCTGACTACGCCGACGACTTGGGCGTCAGCAGCGAGTGGGTCATGCTCGTTGACCGCAGCATCGATGCAGAGACGGATGTAGAAGGTGAAGGAGTAGGAGCACACATTGATGGGGATTCACACACAGATGGGGAAGCACACGCAGATGCAGCTGCGCACACGGAAGAACACCAGCACCATCGCCTCAGCGACGAAGGCCGTCTTGCCTGCGGCATTTTCACCCATCGGGGCTGTCTGGAACACTTGGCGATGGAGCCTTGTGACTTTCCCACCATGTTCAAACTGACAACGGAGAACGTGGAGAACCCACACCGACTAGAGGTTCTGCTGCACCCTAGTCAAGGCATCTTGCGGCTACCCAAGTTCCGTTCGAGTTACTTTCACTGGGCGATGGAAGAGGAGACACTCGCATGTTGGGCAGATATCGCGCGTGTCCATGACCACACCTACATCGAATGGCTGCGTTCCATCTGTCTTGGCGCGCCTGCGTTCCTCCGCGAAACAGAGACCGGACTGGGTCTCGAAACCGCCGACCCAGAAACTAAGCTCGACGCCGACACCAAGGTAACTCAGGGAAGCTTTGCAGCCGCTCTCGCCGCTGCACAGTGCGTTATCAGCGCCGTCAAGGCCGTCTGTAGCGGCCAACACCGCAACGCCTTTTGTGCCATACGTCCACCCGGACATCATGTCGGTACTTTCGGCGCCTGCCAAGACGCCTCTGGCCAACCCATCGACAAATCCATCGGCAGCCAAGGCTTCTGCCTCTTCAACAATGTCGCCATCGGTGCCGCGTGGGCTCGGTAAGACCCCACACGCCGAACACTGTGGCCGGCACAACCCGCAGGGTGTGACAAACCCGCACAGTGTGACAAACCCGCACCGTCGTGTCTGTAGGTACAATTTGCATGAAAAGGGTATTCGACGGATAGCGATTGTTGATTTTGACGTGCATCACGGTAACGGGACTGAGTGTATAGTCCGCAACTTGGCTCCTCGGGAGAGGGTGCTGAGTTCAGAAATAAGTTGCGGCATGAGCGTGGAGTTCCGGGTGCCGATGAACTTTGCCTGGCGCGACCCCGCTTCGGATAACGAGGACGTAATGTTTCTTTCCATCCATGGTTACGACGGGAAGTTTTACCCGGGCATGGGTGGTGAGGCTGTGGTCGGAGAGGCTGTGGCCGGAGAGGCTGTGGCCGGAGAGGCTGTGGCCGGAGGGGGTCAGGTGTATAACGTACCAGTGACATCGGGTACGACGAGTGGGGAGTACAAACGACTATTCGATACTCGTGTGATTGCACCGTTGATTGAGTTCCGTCCTGATTTGATATTAGTCAGCGCCGGGTTCGACGCACATGTGCTGGACCCGGTCGGAACGGGGCAGTATGGGCAGTTAACGGAACACGACTTTCGCTACATGACCGAAAGACTGCAGAGCGCTGCCAACTACTGTTGCGAGGGCCGCCTCGTCAGCGTTCTAGAAGGAGGCTACAACACACAACTTGGTATGAACAGCCCCTTCGCGCGCTCCGTTGCTGTCCATCTCGAAGCTCTCGGCTCCACCTTCGGCAACCCCAGACAGCCCGCCGACCAGCCACGGCCCGGAGGAGAAGACGACGACTCCCGAGATCTTGACGACTCTCGAGATCTCGACGACTCCAGGGATACCGACCCCAGGGATGATGACGTTAGACACGATGACGACCATCCACGAAATAACGACCGAGAAGGAGGCCACGTTGAGAACCACATCGGGGATCACCTCGGGGACCACCTCCAGGACCATTTCGGGGAAGACCCTGGGGACCACTCCAGAGACGACCTAAGGTACGACCCCAGGGACGACTTGCGGGACGAATTGAGGGAGGGGTTGAGGGACGACTTGGGGGACACCGACGTGCGGATAAATGACTTGCGGACAAGTGACTTACGGGCCAATGATTCGCCCAGTGACTCACGGGCGGGAGCGCCTGGGGGCACGCACGGCGACCGGCGTGAAGGTGATGCTGCTCACCGGGGGGCTGACCGCCGTTTGTCAACGGCTAGTCGGGACGACCTGATGCAGCCGGCCGAGCGGCCATCGCGACCGGAGTCGTTGATGGCAACCGAGGAGCGTCACGGGCAGCCAATGCAGGGAACCTCTTCGTCCGTAGTGACGGATCCTTCCGACCTGATCGAACCCGAAGAACAGAATAGCGTTGTAATTGTGGCAGAGGACGAGTCCGTCAGAGAGGAGGACACACCCATGATGGCAGAGCGGTGAGGGATGCCACACCGAACAGTACAGCTATGAGCCGTGCCGCAACCGCGATTTTGGGACGCCGGTCGTGGCGGCTAAGGTCAGGCTCCCAAGTAGTCAACTCCGAGGCCAATTCCGAAGAGGTCAGATCAACGGCGTAGATCCTAGGGGACCAACCATACAGGCCACCAGGCGGTCCGCTTTAGAGGCGGTCCGCTTCAGAGGCGGTCCGCTTCAGAGGCGGACCGCTTCAGAGGCGGTCCGCTTCAGAGGCGGACCGCTTCAGAGGCGGTCAGATCAATGGGGAATGGGGAAGTCAGCTCCAAAGGGGAGCTCCAAAGGGGGAGTCCGTACCAAACAGGGATCAGCTCCGAAGGGGGGAGCTTTAAGGGAGTCAGTTCGGAGAGAGCCAACTCCAAAGGAGTTCTGAGTTAGCAAGAGGGGAAACTGAGGGGGGGGATGTTAGGAAACGGAGGGAGAGCAGGCTTTAAACAGTTCCTGTTTAATCTTGGCGTTCTGAGTGGTGCTCACTGTTGTTGATCGTCGACCCTTTCAAGCAGCTGGTGCTCGCGGTTGACTTTTTTTGATTAGAATGTATCCGCCGGATGAGATGTTGAAGGGGGCTGATTTGGACAGGTTTGGTATGGCGGTCATGCTTGAGGGTAAATTGACTCATGATGAGAAAGCCACAGACGACACTTACGGCGCGGCTGGTTTGCATGACGACCTCGTGGTGACCTACATGAAGGCCTCGAGGTTGACCAGAGTGGAGTCGAACACGGACGACAACGACTTACTGCCCACCAGCGTCCCTGCTAGCGCTTCCGGTGGCCTTCTAGACCAACCCCAGGACGAAGTCCTGAGGCACACTGAACCTCTTCATCCCACAGTCGATGAATCCTTCCCCTCCTCTCAAAAATTGTCGGAACCGATTGCGATCCAAACCGCTAGGGCCCAATCCATCGCGGCTCAAGCAACGTCGGACCAGCCCACTGAGCACCAACCCACTGCGGACCAACCTGCAGTGAGTGTGGTTAATTCTAGTCCGGACATGGAGCTAGAATTACCGCCTGCACTGAATTTACCACCTACCTTTAGTCTACCACCTGCCATTGACCTCTCATCTGTCATTGATCTACCGTCTGCCGTTGATATGCCGGCTGGCTCGATTGTTTCGGTACTACCTGCAAACGGTATTCTGGAATTACCGGCACCGTTTCAGTCGGACTCCTGCGAGGTTCCGCAGAACTCTGCCGCTCCTGCAATGCATTCTCGGCAAGCCGTGAACAACGCCGCAATCGAGGAGGATCCAGCCGTAGAGGCGGAAAGTGGTCGACCCCTTCCAACTGATGTCGCTGGAAGCTCAAAGGGTGTTGCAAGCAGTACCAGTGTGGTGTACATGTGCAGTGCTGTTGAGGACACGGTACCACAGGGACAGCCTTGTGAGGAGTTATCCAAGGATCTTGCCCCAGGTGCAATCAGTCCGCTGCCTGGTCATAATTCCGGTCAGGAGCGTGTACCGAGTCAAGAGCCTATGACCGAGGACGTTGTTACCTGTGTACATGTTCCAAAAGTGCCCGTGGTAGAAGTGCCCGTGGCGGAAGTGCCCGTGGTGGAAGTGCCCGTGGTGGAAGTGCCCGTGGTGGAAGTGCCCGTGGTGGAACTGCCCGTGGCGGAAGTGCCTGTGGTGGAAGTGCCCGTGGTGGAAGTGCCCGTGGTGCAAATGCCCGTGGTGGAAGTGCCCGTGGCGGAAGTGTCCGTGGCGGAAGTGCCCGTGGCGGAAGTGCCAGTCGTGGAGCTAGATGGCGTAGTGCAGGAGACTTTTTTGTTAGCCGCGGGCCCAAGTGGCAAGGGCGGTGCTGAGATTGAGAAAGGTGTTAGGATAGCGGACAGTCCTGAGATCGTGGATGGTTGTGAGAAAGCGGATGGTGGTGACATTAAGAAAGGTCCTGAAATTGCAGACGGTGTTGAGATTGGTCTTGAGACCGAGGGTCGTGAGACCGAGGGTCGTGAGGCCGAGGGTCGTGAGACCGAGGGTCGTGAGACCGATGGTCGTGAGACCGATGGTCGTGAGATTGATGGGCATGGCTTGGACACGGTGGCTGGAGATGTGGCAGGCGGAGAGACACCGTTGGTTGGGGGTGGGGAGGAGGACCCGGAGTCGGTGACGCCGTTTCCGGTGGCGAGACCGTTGGCAAGTGACGTGGATGCGACGCCTAGTTCGTCGGAGGGCGGTGAAAGCAGCGCGGATCAGAAGGCTGCGGCGGCCTTGAGTTCATTGAACGTGTTGAAGGGGCATGTGGGCAAGTTTTGCGCAGAGGCTACGCGCATTTTGCGTCGACGACTGAACCGGAACACGGAGGAAGAGAAGCATGCGTTGGGTTTGGTGAAGGAACTACAGCAGGCCATGGAAAAGCCGGCTGCCGTTGTCTTCGGTGGGGGTTCGGAAGGTCGCAGCCGTGGCGGCGTCCCGTTGCCTTTAATAGGTTCGTTGACATGGGACATTGTGGTGACATTAAAGCGACATGGGTCGGCTGAGCAGCTAGCTCGGGTTTTGTACGACCTGATTTCTTCGGTTGCGGCACATGTAGACTGTCCGGAGTTGGTTAAGTTGACGTTGCCGATCCTGGTGGGTGCAAGTGTTCGTGACCGCAAGTATTTGAAGTGCATGATGACGCTCATGCACGGCCTCTATCAAACAGAAAACGTTCGCGAACTATACCAGTGTGAAAGCGCCCTGTATGAGGTCCTGCTCACCCTTGCTACCACTCTCGACGATAGCCAGATGAACGAAATCGCCTACGCCTGTTTCCGTTGCAGCTGTAACCTCCTCGCGCGCGAGCACACGTGTGTATGTCCCAAAAGCACGCCGGCCGACCAGACTGCAGAACGCAGCCCCTCCAGTCCACCCCTCTCGACCCCTCCTGAAGATACCGACGCCGGATTTTCGGCTGCCGGCTCCATTCCGCAGATTCTGCCCGCAGACATGGCTCTCGTGGATGACGACGGCCAGGGGAACGAAAGCTGCGGCACACACGCCTGGATCGCCCGATTGAACCGGTTACTGGACGAGGTAAGGAGTGCTGTGGCGGACAAGGTATCGCCCGACTACAACTACCCTCAGGAGCAGTTTGTGCAGGAACTGTTGCAGCATAAGAAGGAACGTGTGGACGGGGCCAGAGTGCTCTGTGCAACTGACTGCATTCTGGAGTTTGTCGACACACTGGATCAGGGGCCCGCTACTACGCAATGGCTGCTGCAGACCGGTTACCCCTGTATTGCGGGTTGTCTGGAACTCCTCCTGCACATCAAGGTACCACTGCCGCTGTACTTTAGACTCACCGCATTGGGACTGAAAATGGGCTTGGTCAACAACCAACTCCAAGCGAGACAGATCTCCAGGTTCGCGAATAATCCCTTCGTAAATAACCTGTTCGTAAGCAACTCGTTCGGTGCCGACTACACGCAGTCCGTCGTTGCTCTGTCCGTTCTGGCGGCTAGCGAGAACCCTCGCCGACAAATCGGGGCCCTGGTGGCCGTTTTGCAATTCCTCGCGCAACCGAATATCTTACTCCAAACCTTCTGCGAACCGACTACGGACCCGGCCGTGGCCATGGCGACCTTGAGGGCTCTCGTCTCGGTCACTCGGAGCCTCAGAGACCTCGACTTCCCTGCGCTGCTAAGCAAGGCGAAAGCACCCCAAGGCACTACCTACTACCACTCCAACGTGTCTGCAGACTTCTTGCTGCCACCCACCATGTCTCGAAACTCCCCGACAATCGATACGCGAAGAACGCTACACGAAACGGAGCATGGAAGGGAACAAGAAGGGGAACATGGAAGGGAACCGCATGGACCAGAGCGGAGCACTGAACATGGGACGGAGGACCCTGCTCGAGTAGAAGGCAGTGTGCGGGGTGAAGGTTCTGCCCGAGCAGGCAATGATTGTTGTCTATTGGCATTGACAAAGAGTAACTATGCTAAGAGGTTTAATGCTTACATGATTCGAAATCCGATGAGCAGCATGGACCAAGCAGTCTTGGCTATGTGGGGTTTAACGGACCACGAGGAGCTGGTTGGTTTAACGCTCGTAGACTTGGCTGTGGAAATGTTTTTCAGTGTTTGTCGAATGGTGCAGCTGTCCAGAGGTTTGCGGCAAGCTACCGGCTTTGCTTCCGATTCTGTGGAGAGGTTGATCGAGGAAGGTGTTCTGCTCGGTTTCCGATTATTGGATAGTCTTGTTCCGGGAGATTTGAGGGACCAAGTTGTGTGCGGTCTGAGTGTAATTTGTGCAGGTGTATCGGACTTGGGTCACGTATTTGATTCGGGAGTTATTAGGCCGAACCGTCGAGAGTATGGTGCTTTGGTTGTACGTATTCTGGTTCAGTGTTCGCCAGAGCTGGCAGGTTCGAGTATCTTTCCGTGGCTATTAACAGACGTGGACACGGACACGGTTATTCAGAACATTTCAGCGAAAAAGACGGGTGATTTAAGGATGTTGTTGACTACTAACTGGGAACTAAAAGTATGTGACCAGCCGTTGGTAGGGGATGAACTGATATCGGGGTCGCGCAGTCGGCAGGTGGTACCACTCCTTATTCGAGAAGACTTGCCTGCGTTAGAGAGCGGAACACCTGTCTGGGGGATGGAGGACCCAGCGTTGTGTGTTACGATTGCCTTCGTGCGATGGATCAAGGGGGGACCCTACTCCGCTCTCGTGAGCGTTCTGCTAGCGGCCTTTACAGTGGACTTGGAGGAAGGCCAGTTGGTGGAAACCCCCTTGTCTGAACCAAACAAATTGCGCATTATTGAAGGCGCGGCGAGGAGTATGTTAGTGCACCCCAATCACGAGGAAGGTGTGGCCCTGATCCAGCTCGTGGCGTACCTGTGCCGGGACGAACCTGATGCTGTAGCTCTCCTCATCGACCTTGTGTCGGACGCCATCTGCAACGTGATCCAGGACTCGGTTTTGGCCATGGACTGTGTCAGTGTACTCATCGCCATAGCACGCCAAACTGGCACTCGAGACCCCGCGATTCGTCTGGTGGAACAATACTGTCGATCACACTTGATTCGGCCGTCCATGTCTACTGCCTATGCCGTCAGAGATCTCCTGAGTTTGACGGACCACTCCGAACAAGACCACCCAACGGGTGGGAGAGAAAACGAAGCCCGAACGGGTGAAGGCGGAATCAACCCCCTCAAAGCAATAAACATTGCCTGGCAAATTACTGAGAATCTAACGGAGCGCGACTACCCGGTTACGTTCCCGGTCGCCGGCGTCACAGTCGAGTTGTGTGACTGTACCGAATACCAGTTGGTTTTGATTTCACACGACCGCTGTCTGCCTAACAAGGGACTTCCCTGGCCGGTGGACTGTCGTCTGACGGCCTGCCGAGCCTGTCCAGACGTGCTAGCCGTCGTTGCCGACGGCTTGGTTTCCATTTGTATGAATGAGTCCGCAGTAGTCCGACTTAGCGGACTCAAGACGTTCAGTGCGCTCCTCGGGACGTCCCCCAGCGCGGTGCTGTACGCTAGTTACTACTCCTCCATCCTCGAACGGTGTAGAGAAGACCTCTATAGTGCACTTGCCGCTGCTCTCGTCCCGCTCTCCGTTTCGGCGTTCCCGAAAATCGTTAACCCGGTGGAAGAAATTTTGGAGTACGCAATCGACAATGCTCCCACTGCGCTGCAAAAACAAGCCCTTGAGATCGGAGTTCTCTATGGACGCGACCTTTGCGGACGTTACTACGGAGACGTGCTCCAGGTGCTGGAAGTGGCGGTCAACGGCGACAAGTCCGTGCCCGAAATCGAATTAAAACGATTCCTTGAACTCGTGCTCAAACAAAAGGTCCGTGCCCTTACCAAATGCTTGCTATGGCTAATTAAACTCAGCAGCATCACTGTTGATCCAGCGGATGGTAACCGTCAGACGGATAGTATTCAGCTAATACAAATGTTTGCAAGCTATATGAACCTGTTAGGCGACAAGAAAAAGGAGTTCGAAGCGGTGATCGAGGCCTCCCCGGCACTGTTAAAGACGGAGATCTGGTTGGCGGGGTGTGAGTTACTAGATTTGTGTCTAGCGGATACGATTGCAGATACTTTATTAAAGTTGGGCAACGAGTTGACAGGTGATGTCTCGAGTCCGGATGTTAGTGACGGTGTGATCGTCGTGAAGCCATTGGCACCACCGAGTAACCCGATTTCTGCTAAGATGGTCGCCTTTACGTTTGCCTTATCCCTTATTTTGTTAGACGTCGACCCGTCGGAGATTTTGATCTCAACGTTCATTAACATAAAACTGCCGACGATCCACGAACTCTCTACCTTGTATGCACAATGTTTACCGGTAAATCAGATCTTACAAGACTTGCCTGCTCCACAGGGCATCTGTGACGAACTGTTGGCAGTGACCCAATACCCTGATGCCGGCAAATTACTCACTGAAAACATCAGCACCACTCCCGACGACCTGGATAGCTTCATCCACCTCGAAGGATTGCGTGGCTTGTCCATGCTCCGCTCACGAAATCTCATGTCTCACCCGCTACTCGCCCTCCTTTCCTTCCTTACTAGCACCAGATGGCACGCAATACTCGAAACCACTCCTCCGCTTGCTGCGGCCGTCAGCGCCCTCTATACCAAGTGGCTAGCCACCCACCGCAACTGGAACGTCCTCATCAACGTCGTCGTCTTCCAAGCTGTCATCGCCAGCTACTTCAGAAAACAAACAGTCTACTCCAACCAAATCGACGACCGTGAACCAAACACGAACCCACGACACCAAATGCAGGAGGTCCAGTGGTCAGACGATGTCGTCACCAACTTGATGAAGGCCCATAGTGCTTTGACGGACAAGCTAAACCTCGTCTCCTACCACGAACGCTGCCGACAATTCGCCGCCTTGGTTGAACTCAACACTGTCAGGAACTTGGTCGTTGCCGCTCGGAAACTGCTAGCAAATAACTACGCTCTATCTGGACACAAACTCCTTCATTACACTTGGGAAGTCTGCGAAGCACGAATCCAGAAGGCACCGCATGTTCGACCCTGGTATCGACTGCTAGCTCTATACATTATTCCGACGTGCCTAAACCAAGATTGCACACATCCGCTAGCCAACAATATAGTAAGTCCCTCTGCTGGCGGTAGTCCCTCTGCTGGCGGTTAACCCCC